TCTCTTGTGGCTCTGTAGGAGGCAGCAAGGGGAAGGCAGGTGTGTCTGCAGAGCTGGCATGTGTGGAGAGCCTCACATGTATCAGCTCTTCCTGCAGCCCCCCCCTTACTGCCTCTGATATATGGGAATGCATGCAGTTGACAGGATTGACTAAAAAGGCTTATTGGTTAATCATGTAGTCGTCTACACATTGACATCCCTATACAACAGCACATAGAAATAAATTCAGCCCAGTCTAGTGCTGGGCTCTTTGCTTCACTTATTTTCCATGGGCACATGTATCAGCTCTTCCTGCAGCCCCCCCCTTACTGCCTCTGATATATGGGAATGCATGCAGTTGACAGGATTGACTAAAAAGGCTTATTGGTTAATCATGTAGTCGTCTACACATTGACATCCCTATACAACAGCACATAGAAATAAATTCAGCCCAGTCTAGTGCTGGGCTCTTTGCTTCACTTATTTTCCATGGGGGAATTGCACAGGCGTGCACAGATGGAATGGCTGCACTGTACTCTGCACTTCTTGCCATTTAGGAACCGTTAGGGTGGATCACCAGCTGAGTGATGAGATCCTCAACCATTCAGTGCTGCTGGCCCAGGAACCCTGAACACGGGGTATGAAGTGGCAGTGCCTGCACCTCCAGCAGACAGGCTGGAGTAATGGCTGTGAAGGAACTAAACTGCAGATTCTCGACCAGTCTGCAGATAGAGACTTCCATCCCCTCAATCTCTGTAGAGATCTTTGCACTCGGGCATTGTGCAGGGTGGGTGAATTTCACCCCGAAGGAGTTAGTTTTCACCCAACGGCGGTATGTGGTAATCTACATTATTACATTTGTTATCAATACCTCTGTGTGGCAGTGTGCCTGGACATAGTTTGTTTTATTATTAAATAATCCATTTAATGCCCATTACTGTAGTTTCTAAGCACAGTGCCTACACTGCCTATTCCAGACAACAATATAACCATTCCCCTGTTTATCAGATAGAGAATATCCCTGTGCCTTAATGCTTGGTGCTCCAAAAATTTAGCCAGGAGTATCAAACTTAGTATTGATAACACAATACTGTTCTATCATTAATTTGTATGCAATATGAAATACTGTATACTACCTGCTAATGGGTATTATAGAATATAATATTATAATAGCACTTTGGTTGTGATCAGTTTTCCAGAGAGATGAAGGGCTTTGATCGTTTTTGATTTTTAAGCCTTGATTAAATAAGCTGTTTAAGCATGGTACACATGGACAGTTCAGTTTAAGTCAAGGATACTGCTTATGTGCTTAAAATAAAGCATACTCTCAAATGCTTTTCTGGATCTGATCGTTAGTGCTCAAAGAAGAGTGTCCACAGAGATGAAATAATATTTTTTTTTTTACTCTAGTTGGTTTTTCTTGAATTCCTTGAAGCTCTCCTTGAATGTGCCGTGTTGTATGTTACCAATGATATGATTAAACAGCAAGCAGATCGTTTAAATAAAAAAGGAAGTAGTTACACAATTGAAGATTACACAGGCAGTAGTACAGGGAATATTCCTCCACACTCAGAATACTCTTCATTTCAGGTAATAATGATGTAGAACTTTGTATGGCATTTTACAATTTAATATTTGAGTTACAGTACCCATATAGAGGTCTCATTAATGGGCCAAATTGTTCTGGGTTCCATGCAAACATGTATGAATTAGATCCCTCTGTTCCATTAAAACATATTTTCTTGAATTCTATCCTCCTTGGGGCAAGGACTATAAGTGACACACACAGACTGGAAGGAAAGGTATCCAAGCAAATATATACAATTATTATATATACACTAACACTTTTTTTCTAGACAATTCTGCATATATAAAGTATGTGCAACTCATCTGTCCCTTAAGACACTACACTTGAACTGCACTAATCTGGCAACCCTGGGAAACAGGGCATACCAAATTAAAGAAATGTTGCAGATTATGGAGGGCTCTGGGGTGGGGTTTACAAGGGAAGAAGGGTCCATGAGGGAGATGGCATGGGAAAAAGCCTCTGGTAAAGCACTTCATTGCACTGCTATTTCCCCAGCTAGGGGAGGGGGCTATCCCGTAGGGCCGCTTCCTCCTCTCTCTGCCAGTATCTGTACCACAGATGTTCCCAGATTAGGGACACCCCAAGTAAGAAGGTTCAAGTGTATTAATTGGCTGATTTCCTATAAGCATTTTGGCAGAGGAAAGTGGCTTTTCAGATCTGTTCACAGGGGGCAAAATTGGTACCGTGGAAAAAGGCATAGGTATTAGCATGGGAAGCCAACAAATGGGTGGACGTTGCTGGAGAGTGGAGACAGTCACATGACAAGGGACAAGTACCTATCTTCTGTAAAGTTCTGCTCTGTTCTAAAAAGCAATCCTGTAAAAATGGCATTGTAAATTATATTTTCAATGAGTCTTGCTCTTTTAGAGACATCTAGATAGCTATTTTAAAAAATAGTCAAAGATTCCACAGATCAAATTATGCTTTCAGTGACATATGTGCAGCTATGGAGATGTTGTGGGGTATCTGAGTATAATGTATGGAATTTGGTCTGTAGAATATTTTTAGTACTTGCAATAATACACAATACAGAAGGAACCCTGTTTGATTCTCAGAGTCTAGGCTGAATTAGCAATACTGCTGGTGAGGATTTTTTTTTTTACTTGCAGAGTGAGCTGTTCTTATCTTGAAATTAGTGGGACATTATGAATATGAAATCCACAAAGATATTTTTAGAGAGTATTGTGAGAGAGGATTTCACCAGACTAGGGTTCCACTGTACCTAATACCCAAGTATAATAGCTACATTAGGTGCACAGAAAGTTTATTGCCTCTCTAAGACATTTTCATGCTTTGCTGGTATTGCTGTTTTTAGTTTCGGAAGGTATAAACCATGGGTGGAGAACCTATGGCCTGCAGAATGGATCCAGGCCCCAGTTTACTTTGATCTGGCCCGTGGCAAGGTTAAGGGATCTTTTCCCCCTCAGCAGGGCAAGCTCATGCTCCAGCCCCATGGCAAGTCCCAGCGCCTTGGTGTCTCCTCCCATGGGGCTGGTGAGCGAGTGCTGGCTTACCCCGCTATTGGGGCAAGCCCTGAGCTTCAACTCCACCCATCACCACAGATCTGGAGTGCAAGCGGAGCAAGATTCCCTCTAAGCTGTGTGGCAGCACTGCCCCACAGCTGCTTAATGAGCCCCGCCTAGCCAGAGGCACAGGTATCCCGCACGGAGTTGCATAGCTGGGGGAGGGGCACTTCTTCAGCGACAGCAGCAGCTCCCTGCTGAGGACAGAGCAGTGAATCTCTTCCAGCCTGTAGGGAGGGATCATGTCCTCTACCAGCTGGTAGAGACTTGCTGCTCTGTCCTGAGCGGGGAGCTGCTGCTGTCGCTGAAGGACAAGTACCCTTCCCCCCCTCCCCTTCCCCAACCAGGCAGCTCCTTGTGGGATTCCTGTGCCCCTGGCTGGGCGGGGCTCGTTAAGCAGCTGTGGGGCTGTGCTACCACACAGCTTAGAGGGAACCTTGAAGCAGAGCCCCGGTGCCCTGAGTGCGGTGAATGTCTCTGTTTTTTTGCTTCTCACTTGTGTGTGGCCCCCGACTGATTTTAATGTGGGCCAGTGGCCCCTGACCAAAAAAAGGTTCCCCACCCTTGGTATAAGCCCATGTGTCAATGTAACTGTGTGCTTGAGTTGATTTCTAACTTAATAAAGTTTCAATACTGTTTTCAAAATGGTACTGGATTCTGCTGAAAGCACCATCTCTTTTGTGTTGATTTTATGTTAGTCCTTTCATAGCAGTGCTGAGATAAGCCATGACTCCTCTGAGACAAATCACATTCCTACAAGGTCTTCAAGCAAGCTGGCACAGTCACCTGATAATAAAATAAAGAAACCCGAGGTCTGTAAAACACATTCTGGACAATCATTTTCACTGTCAGGTGTTAATAGGGGGCAGACAGAATTGACTCTTATTTTTAAAGTTTTATGTACTTTGGACCTAACGTATATTTGAAGAAAATCTGGCCGCATTTTTCTTCTGTTAATGGAATATACAGATGTGCGCCTGCATGCATGTGTAGATCTAAAATATACATTTAAATTGTAAAACAAAATATTTGCTTCCATTACTACATTCAGTGACCTGTGTTTAGATAAACTGTCTTCTCTAAGGCAGCTGATGACATAATTAATAACTAACGCAGGATAGAAGATAAAATTATAGATAAACCTTCATGGGACACAGAAGTTATAGCTGGGACTAGTATGGCACTGGGGAGCCAATTTTAGATTTATGTGCAAGGCAAGGAGCAGGAGCTGATCAAAGAGACTTAAAGGCATCAAGTAACATCATTCTAATTTTAATTTTTTGGTATTTTTGATAGCACTTATCCCGTTTTCAGTATATTTAATTTCTGACAATGGGATTCACCAAATCTATTTCCTATGTGTATTTTGGGTATCAGCTGTTTTAGTGACAAAAAAATCTTCCCTTCCCTTCCCTTCCCTTCCCTTCCCTTCCCTTCCCTTCCCTTCCCACAAAGTTAATAAAGGCACACAAGCAAGAGTATATTAATTCTCTATCAGAAGGAATTCTAAAACTATGTTCCAAAATAAAAGGGTCAAAATCTGCTTTTAGGAAAACTCTGCAACTCTGTTGTTACTGCACACATCTATGTCTCCAAAGGGGTTGTGCTGTTGTAACAGATTGTGGCTTGCAGAATTTTTATTACTGGTGCTGGAAAGTTGATCTATCAATGTGAGTTTTGGTAATAATAATCCCTCCATATTATGAGCTAGAAAAATTTCCACTTAACTCTCACGTTGCAGGATAAGTTTGCAGCTCCTGCATTTAGTAAGCAGACTAAATTTCATAGAGAGTAACTGAGAGACAATAGACATGGAACTCCTCGTAACCATTTTACAGTGGCTTGATAGAAGGGAGGACAATAATGTAAGGCTTCAAGACCAAGAAACTGCTTAACATGAAATTTGGAAGGAGGAAGATTGTATTTTCTTTCTCACTTTTTCTCTTTTCATCCTCCATTACTCTCTTTCCGTAGCTGCACATGTAAAGAGTTTTTGGCGATAGCAGTTTCTTCTACTGGGTAACATAATCAGTAGTGGAGATTCATTATTTCAACAGGACAGGAAAAAATATGGCACCAAATCAAGTTATCTCAGAAGAACATGTGTAAGGACAGGACCTCTATTTTTAACAGGGCTTGAAGGAACAATGCAGCCATATTCTGTGAGCCTGAGTTTCAAGAAGATCCAGCTAAAACCTCCTATTAAAAAGTTAGTGTACATGGCAGGTCTAGTGCACACAAGTAGGAGGACTATATTCATTCTGTATATCATTAGATCTGGAAATCGGGTACTTCTGTGGTCTAGTCATGACTCTGCCACTGTTTTACTATGTGGCCTTGGACAAGTCATACAGGCTCTGATCTGGTAACTGGCTTGACTCAGAACATCCCAGCAATTTTAGAGTGATGTCTATGAGCACTGGGGTCTGCCCACATGGAGCCAATTACAGGATTGGGGCCTTAATTCCTATATCTGTTTCCCCTCTGTAAAATCGGTATAAGCTTACTTCCCTGTAAGCTATTATAGGGATATTTTTAGGTTTGATTAGCTAATATTTGTACAAGAATTTTAAAATCTAAAACACTACACGTATAGTTCCAAGTACTATTAAATCTTGACTATAGCAGGCATGACCGCAGAACTGGCTGTACAGGGGCTTCCTGTTTCTTAGTGTAGTAGCTGATACTATTCTAAAAAGCTTTGTGGAAAGAAACAAGTGCAAGTCAACTGTAGAAATCCAAGGATTTATATTTATGATTTCTGTTTTCATTCCAACACAAGATTAAATCCAAGGACTATGCAGTAGAACACAGAACTTTCAGACAGACTGTGAAATCTTCTGAAGAAGAGAAAGGTGCGTACCATAAAATAGCTGTTAGCATCTGTTACTGTTTGTGGTGAAGAGTGAATATGACTCTCAAGAACCCTACTGACTTAATTACAAAATGTATCATAGACTTGATACAGTGGGGTGTATTTTAAGTATGGAGTGAAGGCCACATTCAATGTTACATTTAAAGTAGAATTTAAATTAAGGATGTTAAATTGCGGTTATCTGGTTCATTGTGTATTCAATACAATTTGTGTTGATTACACGATTAGTCGATAAGGACCGCTCTGCAGAGAGGGGGTAGCTCCAGGAGCCGGCTCATGTCAGCTCTGGGAGACACCCGTGCTGCAGCTCAACATTTTAAATGTAGTAAAAGCCATCGGGCACTTGCTATATTTAAAATGTAGAGGCACAGCATCCTGGACCAGCGCGAGCCGGGACTGCTTGGTCCCGGCTCATGCTGAATCCAGCAGCTCCTGTTTGCGGTGGCCAGGGGCTTCTGCCGGAGCAGTTGCTGTGCGTGGCCAGCCCAGGCCGCCGTGAACAGGGACTGCATGGCTGCATAATCTTATTGAGTAGTCGACTATCCTTAGTCCACATTACCAAGCCCGTAATTTCGAAATAAGGAACTGATTATTTTGAAATAATAACTCTGGCTTTCCTTGGGGAATAAGATTATTTTGAAATAACTCCTGAAATAACTATTTTGAATTTAGTTATTTCAAAATAATTTCCTAATGCAAACATGCTCTAAGGTGCCACAGGACTATTCCTTGTTTTTGAATGATAGACTACCCTTCCAAATTTGCTATCCCTCCAAATTTTTAAATCTACTCTCAGCAGTTTCTTTTCTTCTTAAAAAAAAATAGACTTTCTGACTAATTTTTAACTCGGGGAAGATAGAAATGACACTTGTCATGCTCCCAAGGGATCAGACGATACCTCATTCCAAAATACTCGAACAAGAGATGGTCTTAGTTGAAAATGTTTTCCTTAACAGTCCTTCTTAGCTACTCCCTTTCCTCTTCAGACAGTGATTCTTAGCACCAGAGAGAGAGAATTCCTACCTCTTTCCCCCACTTCGAACCACTATTGAGTGGCAAATCCTATCTCAAGGGTTTTCCCAGACATTTCCCCCTCTCCTGCTTGTTATAAAAATGGGACTGAATTGTAGGAGATGATATGCTGAGAAATAATATAACAATTTATCCAATCAGAGATGGTAAAAAAAAAAAAGTCAAATTCATGATGGAAAACCAACAGATATTAATTTTTGCGGTCTAGACGCAGGTGAGGTTTTTTCGAAAAAAGGCTACTTTTTTCGAAAAAACCCCTGAGTCTGGACACAGCCGAAGTGAAGGAAAGGGGAGGCACGAGGAGGGTGCAGGGCTAAGGGAAGGTGCCAGTGCCAGGGGATTCTGGGCATGAAGCAGAAAGACAGACACCTCCAGGGGAGGGACCAGCACCAGAGGAGAGAGGCAAGGGAGGTGTTAGAAGAGGGGATGAGGAGGGGTAGCTCACATGATCAGAGGGGGGTTACTGGAGGAGTGGGCACAGGGGGGCAGGTCGCAGGAGGGCAGAGGGCAGTGAGAAGGGCAGGAGTCAGGACAGCAGAGGAGGGTGAGGAGTTGGAGGGGCAGCAGGCACCAGGGGAGATGATGGAACAAGGAGAGGAGACATGGCAGCAGAGAGAAAAGGTAAAAGTTTATAAAATATTTATTAATAATGTGCTATGCTGCCCATGGCCAGTTTGTTTGCGCCCCACGGTGCAGTAAAGCATTGGAATTAGAGGGCTTCTTGCACAGAGTTATTTCTCTCTCAAGGGGAATAAGCCCTTTTGAGCAAGAACTCTTGCACAAGAAGGCAGTGTGGATGGGCAAACAGGGCTTTCTTGCACAAGAGCGTTCACACTG